GGGCGGGTAACAGACCTCTGACGTCAGCAACTAAAGGTGAGTTCCATTGAAACTTGTTGTCGTGCTGATAGTTTAGTTCGCTAGCTTACAGTGCTACATCTACTGCAAGTTAGCATAAAGGTGGACTAGAAAACAGGTAGTGATATTCAGAGAGTGTGTGTGTGTGTGTGTGTGCGTGCATGTGCGTGCATGTCTTTCTACAGTTTCTGTTTGAGGGACAGTTTTGGTTCAGGACCATCAGACTTGGTTTAAAGTTATGATTAGAGTTAGGTTAAGGTTAGTTGTGGTCACAGTTAGGTTAAGGTGAGGGGTAAGGGGCTCGTGAATGCATTATGTCAATGAGTGGTCCTCACAACTATAGAGAGACGCGTGCGCGCGCGTGTTTGCGTGCACGCGCCACCATTTCAGAGAAATCAGCAGTGCAGGCCAAAGAGAAAGTAAGAGGAGACCTGCAGCAGCAGACAGAGAGCAACGCCTCGGCTCCGTCAGTCAAGTGGATGAAACTGCAAAGTGTAAAGTTACTTCTTCACAAATGGGCAAATGAAATAAGCTGTGATACTGTGGAAAAATACTTTGCCGTGCATTTCCATATTTCTGTTCTGGGTAATTCATGTTTGTCGAACACTTGAACCTGACCCGACCTGGCTCCGAAGTTCATTTGAGCTCAGAATGGTTCAGTGCTTCTTCCCCTCTCTGATTTAACTTCCACTCACCCACACGCTCACTGAGGTCTGCCGCTCTACTTGCAGGTCCCGTGAAAGATGCAGAAGATGAGCTTCTTCTTCCCCCTGCTCTTGGTGTGCTTGGATGTGTGTGCGTTGCACGCCGTCAGCCTGGCCCAGCTCTCGCCTCTCTTCATCTCCCATCCACTCCTCACCCAGTGGGGGGCAGGGGTGATCCGGGCCTGCCTCCTTACCTTCTTCACCGTCACCTACCCTGGAAACCAGTCGTGGATGAGCAGCTTCGGGGGGATCCAGAGCTTAGGGGTCCTTTGCTTCCACTTTCCAGTATACAAAACTCTTTTGTGGGTGCTCGGGCTGTCCACCATGGAGGAACTGTGCGGCTGGCACTCGTGGGAAAGGGTGGGTAGCTGTTGGCTGGATAAAACTCTGGATAAAGATAATTTATTGTGTTTACAGTTGACAGAATATTGTGACTGTTCTTGATGCTGTTTCATTCAGAGAGAAATGGAATGAGGATGTTGTAGCCAATCACAGCTTGAGCTTTGAACAGGAACAAGACTGAAACCAAAACGAAAGCATTCTGAAATCTGACACGAGAAGGACAAGATTCATTTCTCTGTGTATCATACAAGCTGATACTGCGATTTCTTTCTGCAGGTGTTACAGGGTTATGTTGTGACAGTAGTGGCCTGGCTCTACTGGAGCCGATACGTGTCTTCTCTTTTGATCTCCTCGGGCCGGTACATCTCATCCCTGTTCACGAAGACGCCCTCTGAGAAGCCTGATGAGGACACCGTCACACTTCTGAATAGACTGCTGGGATACATGAAGCCATATTTCTGGCGCTTCGTTGCCGTGCTTGCACTCGTGTTTCTCTCTTCCTATGGTAAGTGAGACAGTTTGATTTAGATAAAGTGTGTGGAGTTTATTTTCTATGTAGTGTTCTCACGCAACTATGGAAATATGGACGGTTACATCTTGTTTTTGCTGTGTTGGTACCGACCTTATATCAAACAGGACTCAATTCTCAATGACCGATAAGCTTCTGATCGGAACTGATCTCTGAAGAAATGAATAATAACCTTGTGATCTCAGGTGAGATGGCGATCCCTCAGTACAGTGGTCGCGTGGCTGACTGGATCACTAATGAAGAAGCACCTGATGCATTCACAGAGGCAATCACAATCATGACATTAATGACCATCGCCAGGTAATGAAGCATTGTTTTTACTAACTTTATAAAATACCAGAATTTGCTTAACATAAAAATCTGCCAACTCATGGCTTCTTTATTTCTATATATTTTCTTTTTCCGGTACTTTTTTCCTTTTTGAAAGTCTGAAGTAGAGATGGTTGTGTAGTAATACTGCTGAACCGATGCTTTGTGTACTTTACACTGTAATGTGTCTCTTGTTGTATTTTCCAGCGCTGTCCTTGAGTTTTTATGTGACCTCACTTACAACATCACCATGAGCCACATCCACACCTCAGTGCAGGCAATTGTCTTCCAGGCTGTGATGAAACAGGAGATTGCTTTCTTTGATGCCTCTCCCACTGGTAAATCTTGTACACAGCGTGCAAACGACCGACAACACAAAGTTATCTTTAAACGAAAGCATCTCACACTGTCTGAATAAATCCTGAACGTATTTTCCTTATGGTCTTAATGTGGACCAGGCTTTTATTTGTATCAGGGCCAACCTCAGTTCCCTGATTATTTAAAATTTACTCACAGATGTGCAGTTCGTCACCTGAAGAAAGACTAATGACCCAACTTTCCTCTCAGGTGAACTGGTGTCCCGCATCACCACAGACACCAATGAAATGAGCGAGTCGCTGAGCGAGGAACTAAGTCTTGTGATGTGGTACACAGCACGTTTTGGCTTCCTCTTGTTCTTCATGGTGTGCCAGTCATGGAAAATGACCTTGCTCACTTGCATGGGACTGCCCATCGTCTGGGTCATACCAGAACTCACCGGACATTTCCACCAGGTAAACATAAATCTACACTATGTCTGTGGAGCGCATTCCTCCGAACGGTCCCCATAAATTCAACTTAGCTGCACCAAATTGAACTCATATAGATATCAGTCCCCAAAATGCAGCGTAGATTCAATTGTGATCACATTAATTAATTTTTTTTTAATCCTTTTTTGTTTTTTATCTGTTTCAGTCTATTGCTAAAAATGTTCAGGAGTCACTGGCTAAGGCCAACCAGGTGGCCACGGAGACTTTCTCCTGCATGAAGACAGTGAGGAGTTTTGCCAATGAGGATGGCGAGACAGAGAAGTACAGGCAGCGGCTGGAGGAAACTTACAACCTGAACAAAAAGGAAGCGCTTGCCTACGCAGCCTCTACCTGGTCCAACAGCGTGAGTCCAATACGGATCTGTGCTGATGAATTGCATGTAGTGTCTGAAATGTCTCAGAGAGGTTGCTGACTGGAACTTGGCATTGAGACTCTTAAGATCTTGAAATGCAGCTGGTCCACAGCGGAATAATTGTCTTTCATGTTCTCCCAGATGACCACTTTGGCCCTGAAGGTCTTTATTCTGTACTATGGAGGGACTCTTGTGACCAGGGGGACCGTCAGCAGTGGAGACTTGGTGTCCTTCATCCTTTACGAGCTACAGTTTGCCTCCGCTGTTGAGGTGATCTGCATGCCAAGAAGCAGCTAATTATTTTGTGCACAGTATCCCACAGTCATATCAGTAAGTGCCCATTTTTGCTTGACCTTCACTTCTCTTCCAGGCCATCATGCGTTATTACCCAGAGGTGAAGAGGGCCATCGGTAAATCTGAAAAGATCTTTGAGTATGTGGATCGGAAACCTCAAGTACCCCCAGACGGCTCTTTGGCCCCTGAAACTCTTCAGGGACACATTCAATTCAAAAATGTCCGATTTTCATATCCTGGCACAACAGATGATAAGAATATTGTGCTTGAGGTGTGTATGTGTTTATGTTTCTCTCCTGTGCGTTCATTATATTTACAATTAAACTGATTTTCTCGTTCAATTAAACATATTCCTCTTTTCCAATAGGATGTGTCGCTGGAGATAAAACCAGGTCAAACCACTGCCCTCGTTGGGCTCAACAGATCAGGGAAGTCCACCTGTGTCAAACTGCTCGAGAGGTTTTATCAGCCGCAGGCAGGGGAGATCCTCCTGGATGGAAAACCACTGACGAGCTACAAAGACCAGTTCCTACACGACAAGGTGGGTGCTCAACAGCAGCAGGTTCCGCTGTTGTCTGAAGAGAGTTTCGTCAGAGGCGTCGATTAAATCCCTGAACATTTGTCATTCGGTTAAGATTGTTAAGAACTGTTTAGAGTTGAAAACAAGGAAGAAGTTATATAGAGAAGGTGAATCACAGTTCATTGAAACTTTCTACTCTATTAACACTTCTTCGCGTCAGCTGGGACAATTATACAGCCACCAACTTCTCCCTCCTCATCCTCTTGTGTTCTCAGATTGCTGTGGTGAGCCAGGATTGTGTGCTGTTTGCTCGCTCGGTGCGGGAGAACATCAAGTACGGCTACAAGGAAGCCTCTGATGAGGAGATGTACCACGCTGCCAAGATGGCGAGCGCCCACGAGTTCATCTTGGGGCTGCCAAATCAATATGACACAGGTTCAGAGCCGGACTTTTTACTTTCTGGAAGAAACTGGAATGATTTAGTTTTTCATGTTAATTAAATTCTTAGAACATCTTCCTGTAATTATAAGTAAGTTTGTCAGTCAAGCTGTTGGAACAGGGTATTAGTGTTAAAGTGCAAAATGTTTAGAATAAGTATT